TTTTATGATGAGGTTTGTCGTATGGTTCTGAAGATTACAAATACGATACTGACAGTGATGGAACCCAGTAAAGAGCATTCGGGTATGGTGTAACGGCTAACATTGCCGCCTCTCATCCTTCAGTGCGCGGCAGCTCGGGGTTCGATTCCCCGTACCCGAAATTAGAGGCGAAAGAATTGTTTTTATTTTTCAGAATTTTATTCACTCTTGTGAGACGGGGGCGGTCGATGTATTGACATTGTGCTATGCGCTATCTGCTTTCGTCGTTGATCCCTGTACATTGTACACGAGTACGTGACGCTTGGCAACCTACATAAGATTAGGTTTTTATCCACTCCTGCCTATGTATGACTGCATTTTGTGCCGCTAGGTTGGCGCCACTGCGAATTACCCACTACGAGGCTACGTCATAGTGTGGCGAAGCGAGTGTCTCAGGCTGATGTCTCGGACAGAGTCGACGTCGATCTCACACTAGATCGCCATCATTTACCCTTATAGATAATGCGCCTCAACGCCAAGCTCCTGCAAAGAAAATCCCGCATGGCATACTAGTCATGATACCAAACAAGACTTTTGGGCTGTAGTAATTCGGGTATGGTGTAACGGCTAACATTGCCGCCTCTCATCCAGTGCTTTGAATGGCACGCGGCAGCTCGGGGTTCGATTCCCCGTACCCGAAGATTTCCACATTGTAGGAATGTTTTTTGACGCGGCCCATAAAGCGATCTGGCGCTGGGCGGCGGGCGTGAAGGTCAATGAATCGAGACATTAACTCAAGATTCCGAGTTAAGATTCTATCATCCAACAAACGCAATAAAAATGACTATTACTATTACTATTTCTAAGCAAACGCCACAACGCCGTTACCCGACACCCCGGACTCATCTCAAGTCCAGAGCCATCTATATTCACAGACCCGCTTGGTCTTCCTGGCCGTGTCAAGTAACACAATGAGACCACCAAGTCGGGTATGGTGTAACGGCTAACATTGCCGCCTCTCATTGCAGGGCGTAAGTTCAGTCAGTGCGCGGCAGCTCGGGGTTCGATTCCCCGTACCCGAATGGGGGTTCTCGCTTCTTTTTTGCTCTGTTCCTTGCTGTAGCTGCCAGTGAGGGGGTCGGGACTCGGGGGACACTGCGTTTTGATAGTGTCTTAGTCTAAGATCTGCTATGAGATTGAGATCTTTCATTGAGACTGAGACCCGTACGATCACGATCTCTTCCGAACCATTTCCCTTTCCAAGCCAAACGCCAGACCAGACCAGACGCCAGACAGAAGCGCCAGGCGCAAGGCGCAAGGCGCCTACGGGCTCGAAAAGCAACTGGGCAACTGGCTCTCACATCGGGTATGGTGTAACGGCTAACATTGCCGCCTCTCATGAGGAATTTCAGTCGTGCGCGGCAGCTCGGGGTTCGATTCCCCGTACCCGAATAACTGGCACAAACCATGCACAAAGCTTCTCTTTTGCTTCCGAGCCGCTTGACTAGGCAAGTCGCCCGTCGCCCGCTGTGACGAGCGATAGCGTTCTGAACATGTACAGTCGAGGCGCTAGCGAAGTCGTGCTGCTCCCCTGGAGGTACCGTCCTCAGAGGTGTAGGTAGGCTCGCGTAGGGCACGATTAAGATAAGCCACGTCGTATCGTATCGCGAATCTCAAGCTCGCTCTATATCTTATTTAACCTCATCTGGGACTGGTACTGGGACTGGGACTGGTACTGTACATTATGAATCGAATTGACACCCGTGAACCGTAAACCGGAAACCGTGAACCGTGAACCATAAATCGTAGAATGATCATTGCGCGTGAGGAAGGAAAGGAAAGGAAAGTCTAGGAAAGGTAAACAAGCCAATGCATAACCATATCAGCAGCCGTAGCCATAGCCACAATCGCAGCCCTCGTCAAATCTAGCACAAACTTTCGCCTCGCCACGCCACACTGTCGTCAGTCAGCACGCACCCCTCCCCCCTTCCCCTTCCCCCACGCCTACACAATCTCCGTCGGCTTATAATAAATCGTCGTCAAATACTTCTTCCGATACCTCGTCGTATTCCCCACCGCCAACACCCCATTCCGAATCGCGCTCGTCGAAAGATGCTGCAGCACCGCATGCGACGGGACGGGGAGCACGCTCCCGTCGTCCGTAGGCGGCGCGAGGGTGTTGTCGTTGTCGAGCGAGAGCGTGAGCGGGCGCGAGGCGGGGAGGAGCGGTGCGTGGGCGTGGGCGTGCGACGCGTGAGAGGGGTGGGGAGGGGACGTGGGTGTGAGCCCGCCGGGGGGCGTGGATTCGGCGGAGGTGAGTGGGGAGGAGGGCGTGTGGATTTGGGGCTGCAATGTGGATGTGGATGTGGGTGCGGGGACGGCGGGGGCATGGGTGTCGGGCTCTGCGTCGAGCGTGCCGGCTTCGCTTGGTGGTGGGGGCGGCGGGGGTTGCGGCGGTCCGCGTCGGTCTCGTTCGCGCTCACGGTCGCGATCTCGCTCCCTATCTCGCTCCCTATCCCTCCTCCGATCTCTATCCTCCCTCTCCCTCTCCCCTCTATCCCTCCACTGATCCCTATCCCTATCCCTCCTCTCCCTATCCCTCCCCTCCCTCCCCTTCCCCTTCTCCCTATCCCTATCCCTCTCCCCATCCTTCCCCTTCCCCTTCGCGCCCTTCCCCCCAGGCTGCCCCACCGCCGGCCCCACCGCCCTCGCATTCAAAATGAGCTTATCCAAATGCCGCGGGAGCCCAGGGGCGGGCGGGATATTCGGCGCAGGGACGAACCCCGTGACGCGGTGCGTAGGTCCGCTCGCCTGCCCCTCCGACGCGGCGAGGTACGACTCCTCCTCCTGCGCGGCGGCGATCAGCTCGGGCGGGAGGTCGCTCGTCCACAGCACCGCCTGCTCGCGCTCCCGGTCGCGGTGCGCGGGCGTGCTAGAGGGGGGCTCGGGGTCGTGCGAGGCGTTGGGGTCGTCGTCGGATGTGGAGGACGCCGCGGACCAGAAGCTCGTTCCCGGGGGGAGCTTGCGTGTTACTGGGGGCGAGGAGGAGGGGGCTGGCGCCGGGGCCGGGGTCGAAGGGGCGGGGACGGGGACGGGGACGGCGGAGGCGCTGGGGGGAGAAAAGGTTATGGGGACAGCGACATAGTTCGCGAGGGACCCCTGGTCGTCGACGGCGGTCGGGAGATGGTCCGCCACGCGCCAGAGATCGTCGATGAGGAAGCGGATGTGGTGCGTGCCGGGGGGGAGGTTCACGGTGGCGTTGTAGACGTTCGATCCGGGCGATCTGGTAGTGTACTCGTCGTCAGTAGGACCCCACAGGTAATAGACACTGCTTGAGCTTACTCCTGCGTCATGGCGAGGCGCCCCTTCCAATCGTCGTCGCCGGCCCTTGCGAGGAAGATGGACTTGCCCCCGCCCCGCCACTCGATCTTGATCGGGACGAGCTCCTCGCGCTTGTCCTTGACGGCCTGCACGAGGCCCACGGGGAGGGTCGAGGTCACGGTCTCGGGCACAAAGGGCAGCGGGGGCGCGGGGACGGCAGGCGACTGTGCCTCGTCGTACATATCCTGGATCCTGCGATACCTGCTGCGCTGGGCCTGGACCTGTGCGGCGGCGTACGCCTGAGCCTGGGCCTGTGCGGTCTGGGCATCGCGATGGTGATCGCGGTGGTGCTCGATGAGCTGCTGGTGGACATCAATAGTGCTGGGGAGGGTGATGGGGGCCCTTATCGTCCTGCCCGCCTCGCCGGGGATATTTGTCTGTACGCCGGGGCTGATGGGGATGGGGATGGAGAGGGACTTGGGCGGGGGCTGGCGGCCGCGGGCGGAGGAGGAGGTGATGTGGGCGAGGTCGGGGAGCTCGAGGGACTTTTTTTTGTAGCGGAGGGACGAGTGGGTGTTTGGGTGCGGGTGCGGCGACGTGCTCGACGCGGATCCGTTCGATGGAGAGGCGCTCGGGTCGCGCGGCCGCCCGTGCACGCTCGGCGCTCGCTGCTGGTTGGACGGCGCGTTCCCCATCGTGGTCACTGATACCCCGCTGTTTGGCTCTGTTGTCTCCATGCCTCATCCTACCACTGACGATGCCTTTGCAGAGGCAACAAAGGCTCTCGACACTTACAAGCAGCGAGATCCAAACAAGGGTATGGCGTGGCGTTGTCGACTAGCTGCTGCTCACCACACACAGTCATCGTCCGCTTCAAGGCAGTCGGCAATGCTCCCATCATGAAACAAAACTTTTACAAAATCACTTCCAGCAATCGCTTCCAAGCTGTCATCCAGTTCCTCAGAAAAGAACTAGGTTGGCCGCCCTCCGATCCTCTCGTGAGTCCAGCCACAGTTGACCCTTCATCTCACCAAACCCACCTCAGTTCACCTACGTCAATCTGGCGTTCTCGCCCGCACCCGATGACACGGTGTCTAATCTCTTCAAGGTACGCGTACATCTAGTCTCCTGTCGACCAAATACTGAATTCGTCCAGTCCTTTGCTACTGATGGGCATCTCATCGTAAACTACAGGTACTGCCCTCTCCTCCCCCTGCACACCCACTCACACCCCTTTGCACAGCACCACCGCCGCCTGGGGCTAACGCGACGCTCCAGCCTTGACCTGGGCATGCCTAACAACCATGAGCGCGAGGGCAAGGGATAGGGACGGGCTTGGATATCGAGAAGAGACGACGCAGTATACCCCACCGACGCCACGCACGATTCGGTGGTAATGTAATATTTGTATGTATGCTATACCCACGATAATGCACGCTGTTCTGTTCACCGCACCGCACCGCAATGCACCGCAATCCCCACGAGTTCGAGTTCGAGTCGCGCCTCCCTCGCCCTTCCCCGTATTCTTCGCCCTGCGGTTCCAACCCTACGACACGACACGACACGACCCCATAACCAAAAACAAAACAAAAAAAAAGTCTAAACTGCTATGCGCAGAAGGGAATTCGGGTACGGGGAATCGAACCCCGAGCTGCCGCGTGAATTTGGCACGAACCCGTGCATTGGATGAGAGGCGGCAATGTTAGCCTTTACACCATACCCGAGGTTATATACCCTGTATGTGGCGGGGGCATGTATCGTGTTTTGTTCACGGGCTAGGATCCGAGTCCTCTGTTACCAGTGTGTGCACCTGGACCCCAGTCCGACTCACTCCCGAGCGCGACGCGACTCACAGCACGGTGTACGTCCCGCACCGCACCGCACCGCACCGCACCCTGCAGCGCAGGACACGCCGCAAAAAAATCAGAGAACACTTAAATTTCATCAGCTCGGGTACGGGGAATCGAACCCCGAGCTGCCGCGTGAGTATTACACGAACTCGCTCACTGGATGAAAGGCGGCAATGTTAGCCTTTACACCATACCCGAGGTTGTGTACCGTGTGTGGTGTGGGTATGTATCGTGTTCAGTTCACAGGCTAGGATCCTCTGTTCCCAGTCACCAGTTGTACCCCCGACTCCCGAGCGCGACTCACGATCGGTCTACGTCCCGCATCGCACCGCACCGCACCGCGCAGCGCAGGACACGCCGCGAAAAAAATCAGAGAACACCGGAACTTGAAAATCGAACCCCGAGCTGCCGCGTGAATATTCCATGAACTCAGCCACTGGATGAAAGGCGGCAATGTTAGCCTTTACACCATACCCGAGGTTGTGTACTGTGTGCAGTGTGCAGTGGTGGGGGTATGTATCGTGTGTCGTGTTCTGTTGACAGGCCTAGGCTGCGCGCGCGTGCGTCACGGTGTACGGTGTACGGGCCAGAACCTCGACTCGACTCGACTCGACTCGACTCTCGACTGACTCGGAGACTCGACTTCGTTACCACTCCCAGTCCAGTCCGAGCGCGGCTCAACGTGTGTGAGTACCTCTCCACACCGCACCGCGTCGGCCGCGACGCCCCACACCACAAAAACCTACGTGCGAAACCTGGAACTTGAATATGCTTGAAATCTCGGGTACGTGTATGGGATCGTGTGTGTGCTGGGGTGCTTGTCATATGTCATATAGTGCTCGCAGGTTAAGGTTACGTGTACGCGTACGCGTACTGCGGGTTCCAACTAGTATCGGATACTCTCCCAAAGCCAGATCAAGCGCAAGCGCAAGCGCGACTCGGACGGGCATGCGTGCGTGCCTCCCCACACCGCACCGCTCGCAGGTAATGCTTTGATCACGACAGCGTTTTCAACTTGTGAGTCCATCCGTCCTGCTAGTAAGAGGCACCGCTTCCCAGCCTCAGTAAGCCCACCAAGTACTGGCAGTGCGAGGCATTTGCGGCAGAATCCCCCTTCCACCACTCGTTGTCCCAAGTCGACGAGCCACACTTGTCTATGTTTTATGTACAGGTGGAATCCATGTTCTTTTGCAGGCGATGGCAGGTTCAACGCTACCTGGACATGTGTCCCTCCGTTTACCTCGCGGTTCACCAGGTCGACACTGTGGTATACCTCGGGATTGCCACCACCCGACACAAGACGCTTGTGTACCTTTTAAACACTGACAGGATCCTGCCAATGTCACATAGAAAATGCTGCCTATCTACACTGTCCACAAAGTGCCGCACATACGCGATTATCAAGGGAAGACGCCGATCTTACGAGCACGGGACAAGACTATCTCCGCGATATGTTACTACTGGGGCCTCTTCCAATTGGACAGTTCCCTGTCAACGCTTCATTTTATCTTTCAAAGTGACATGTTCAAAGGACCTGACTGCTAACGTACGCGTGCGTTACGTGTCTGCAGGCACAGCCGTCCTTACGAGGGCAGGACAAGACTATCTCGCGATCTGTTACTGGGGCCTCTTTGGAAAGTTCTCTTTCAATGCTTCACTTCATCTTTCAAAGTGACATGTTCAAAGGACCTGACTACTAACGTACGCGTGCGTGTCTACCGTAGACACAGCCGTCCTTACGAGGGCGGGACAAGACTATCTCCGCGATCTGTTACTGGGGCCTCTTTCAATTGGAAAGTTCCCTGTCAATGTTTCATTTTATCTTTCAGAGTGACATGGTCAAGGGCCCTGACCACTAACGTGTGTGTCTGCAGGCATGGGAATGTATTCTTATGCATGCCGTCGACCAGACGCGTAAGTATAAGTAGAGCTGTAGATCAACTGGAAGTGTAGTGCATCATGGACACTGACTTTTCAACCCTTCTACCAACTGCAAACGCAACAAGCTTTGATCGTTATGTCGAAGCCTACGAAAGGAACGAGGGCGCTGTCAATGGTTTATGGCTTTCGTGCGTCATATATTCTTCTTCTTCCATGATTTTGTCCTAAACAATCTATAGCATGTTAAACAAGCTTTTCTCCGGCGATTCACAGGCAATAGAGAAGCTTGAATACTTCATCTGCCCAGAAATGCATCATAAAGAAATCGCGGGCGAGAGCGGCGAGAACGAGAGCGGATTCTCTGACCTGATCGTGGAAAAACGCGGTATCAAGCAGCTTGTGTACGAAGGGAAAGGTTTTACAGGGGAGGATGTCACGAAGCGCCCAAAGTTTGACGACATATTGAAGCAGCTTATTGGATACGCAAGCGACATGGGGAAGGATCGCACTTGTTATCTCATTGGGGCACGCGGCAGGTTCTGCAAGTTTTGGAAATACAAGACAAAGGATGATCCAACTGCAGTCAACTACTGGTGTTTGTATGTCAAGAACGGGATAGTAGTTGATGAAGATAAGCCTCAGAGCTATACGTACTCCATCATTGATCGAGATCATCAAGAGAAGATATCTACACTACTAAAATACATCAAGGCCAACTCTATATCTTACCAGTCGTAGCAGATCTGGGGTCGCTGACAATCATGTAGTAGATGTGATTACTACTAGTAGTAGCCAAATATATATTCGAAACAGAATGAGTGTATCCCAACAAGTGCGTAAGAGGGTGTCAAGTGGTTGCGCCACGGCTCTCGCAAGTTGGACTCAGCTGTTTGTGTGCATACTGTTCAAGCCGGTCGAGCCCCTTCCTGTACGTATATATTTAAATGTAGAATACTTCTTGTTCAAAACACTTTCAACACAAGCTTCTCCAGGTTCGATTCTAGCGTGGCGACGTAGAAGGATAACTCTTCCTATGAGTAGGTAATGGTCACCCTGTCAATGGTTCTTGAAAATGAGAGTAGTTGTATCGAGGCTCAATGGATAAATTCGAACGCGGATTCTGTCCGAGCCGTGAGTCAGCCAAGGAACATTCATTCCATCTGTTTATGCCACTCATCCATCACCCCTTGTGAATGATTACCAGTGAAGCTAGGAGAACTTGTCGAACGCATTTGACCCCTTGGCAATACCGGCGCAAAACCATCACCGCTTTGAACTTACTACCCCTTATGCGACTGCCGTAACTTCGAACCTGGAAGGTGTCATCTGAGCTGCCAGCTAAGGAGCATGCATTCCAGCTGTTTATGCCCAGCACCCGGGAATGATTGCCAGTGAGGCTTTCCTACCTTGTCAGTATCTGACCCCTTGGAAAGACCGGTGCAAAACCCTATAGCCCTTCAACAGGCATCTAGGTCTCTTGCATAACGGAAGTTCTGCGGTCTTCCAGGAACTTGCGTCCCTCCTGTCACCAGTGTCAGTCACCAAGCAGTCCTTCCAGTCAGGATTTCCGTACCTCGGATATTATGCACGGGCTTGACCTCTGCCATGTCCAGTTGGTCGAGAGTATAAATACTAGTTGTTACCTGAGTGAATGAGCAAACCTTCTTTCCATTCCTACCATTTCCAACATGGCTGAGGCTCAACACAGTGTTCTCTTACCGGTACCGAATGATGCCTTTGTGCAGTTGGTCAAAGCCGCTGCCCCGCATGAATCTCGCGTCAATGGCTTATGGTCTGCGTATGTAGAATTTCCACCTGGGTTCTATACGTGACTCACCACGAGGTTTTCCACAGAATCCTATACCACCACTTCAAGGCCAAGATTGACACTTTGGAGTTCTCTGTGAACCCAGAATTGAGAACTAAGGCGGAAGGAGGGACAGGGGGTTTCAGCGACCTGGTTCTAGTCCGGAACGATTTCTCAAAAGAGACGGTGGAAGGCAAATGGCAGATCATCCTAGAAGGGAAGAGTCAGAAGGGAGAATGCTTTTCGAAAGCGCGTGGTCAGCTTCTAGGCTACGCTAAAGAGATGAGCGGCAAATCTCACAACATGAGGTGCTATCTCATAGCCGCCAAGGGTATAAACTGCAGGTTCTGGATATACAACAAAGGGGACCTCATTGTACAAAACCCCATCATGATTAAACCCAAATCTGGGGAGATTCATTACGGTAACGTACTACCACAAAACGAGGATGACGATATGAAGCGGTCATTCGAGTACGATTTAACGAACGTAAAACATCAGGCGGACATACTTAAGATGTTAGAGTATTTTAAAGATAACGCGCTTTGAACTCGTATCACCGTATTATAACGAATACATCGCTCCGAATAAAGCATCAATTGCATTGTGAGCAGGCTTCAAATTTGCACTTAGACTCAGCTGATCGCTGACTGCCAGCGAATATGGGCGTACTGTATGCGGCTACGTACGTGACATGAGTGTCTTCGGTCCTCCGGGTTACAACCATCCAACCATCCATCCAACATAAATGCCAACGCCAACGCCAATTCGTGTGCGCCTCCGATTCGACCTCAATCTGAACATTCCACTCTGCGGTCTCATCTCGACTTCTGACACAGCACCACATCTGGCAGCCTACCCGAACATAGGGGACACCGACGATGCCTTTGATGCTTGCAGAGGCAACGAAGACCTTGGAAACCTACAAGCAGCGAGGTCCAAACAAGGGTATTATCGGCGTGTCTTTGTGCATTTGGTTGGGCGCTCACCACCACACAGTAATTGTTCGCTTCAAAGCAGTCGGCGCTGGCAATGCTCTCATCATGAAACAAAACGTTTACAAAGTCACTTCGAGCAATCGCATCCAAGCCGTCATCCAGTTCGAAAAGAGCTAGGATGGCCGCCCTCGCATCGTCTCGTGAGTCCAGTCACAGTTGACCCCTTCATCTCACCAAGCCCACTCCAGTTCACCTACGCGATGACGTGGTGTCTAATCTCTTCAAGGTGCGCGTACATCCCAGTCTCTTGTCAACTAACTAATGAATGCGTTCAGTCCTTTGCGACCGATGGGCATCTCATCGTAAACTACAGGTATTACCTTCCTTCCTCTCCTCCCCCTGCACATCACTCACAGTTGCACAGCACCGCCTGGGGTTAACGCGACACCCAACACAGAATCAAAATCTGGCCGTGCCTAACATGCGACCGTGACGCTGCGCTGGGAAGGGCGAGGGACAGGGACGGGCTTGGACATCGAGAACAGACAACGCAGTATACCCCACCGGCATCATCTCCAACAGGTGGTACGCATGGTAATGTAACATTTGTATGTATGCTATACCCTCGATATCATAATGCATACTAGACCGTAATCCGCACCTCAGTTCTCAGTTCTGTATCTGTATCAAGGGCCTGCACTTCGGAGCTCCTGCCGTCCCTATTCCTCTGCATTACGGCACGCACACGGGCACGTACGGCGCTGAGAAAACACCAACAAAAAAGTCTACGCTGCTCGCAGCAGAAGGGAATTCGGGTACGGTGAATCGAACCCTGAGCTGCCGTGTAGGAAATTACATGAACTGGTTCGAATCCAAAGAATGAGAGGCGGCAATGTTAGCCTTTACGCCATACCCGTGGTCATGCACTGTGTGTAGTGGGGATGCTTGTCGTGTTCTGTTCACGGGCTACGCGTGCGTGTACGGGCCAAATCCTCTACTTGACTGGACTCTACTGGACTTCAGTACCACTCCCAGTCCGAGCGCGGTGCGACGGCCACGGTGTACGGACCTCTCCGCACTGTGCAAGAATGCACGCCTCGCTACAAAAATCTATGTGAGTGCTCTAGAAAATGCAATCTCGGGTACGGGGAATCGAACCCCGAGCTGCCGCGTACGAATCAAGACACTGGATGATGAGAGGCGGCAATGTTGGCCTTTACACCATACCCGACTTGCCCTCGCACGCACGCCTCCACCCCAGCCTGAGCATGTCGGAGCCTGAGTGTACATATGTCGAACCAGGCACTGCAGGCTGCAAAACTGTATGCCCGTATGAACGCGACATCTTCGAGTCCAAGTCCCCTATCAACCACATACATACAACTTTGAAAACGGCATCCCATCTCTGCAACTTCAAATTGAATGCAAGTTCTGACGTCCGTGTCCGTGTCCGTGGAAAATAAGTCCGGATTCTGACTCTACGTATAAAGCTCCTGCATGAAACACTTTGCTACTAATCTACTAATCAAGAACTCGAATTCAAATTCACGCCAGAAATACACACGCGCCAGTGATATGTCAACGACGTGGGTACGCATCCTTTATTTACGTGGAGATCATGATCACAAGGCCCGCATTTATAGACCAGAAAATATTTTAAGCATCGCACACAGGGATTTCCCTCGCTGCTCGTGTCAACCTTTGGGTGATCATCAGAGCTATGATAGTAGGCAGGTAATTGATTGTTTTAAGTGGAACATTAACCCGTATTCACTCATGCTCAGATCATCGTTCTCATCGTGTTCATCATCCGTACAATGGTCGTGAGAACAACTTAACAGGAGGGTGTTTTGGTTAAAAGGTGGACTCTGGGAGCCTTCAGAGGGAGGTCATCCCTATCATGACGCCCTTGGAACGCGCAATACTTCAGCGCGTGGGAGCATCCATGCTCCAAAACCTCTCTAGCACGACTATCACCGTTCTATTGCAAGGTAAGTTACTCCGTATGTTTACCCGTAGAATCAGGAACTAATGATGGATGCATCTTCAACGATCTCTGTATGCAGGAGTCTACAATGTTATCTTCATTGTCTATTTACTACATATACGGTGCGTCCTCGACTACTAATCCTGGCCGGCTCAAGCTAGATTCTGAGGGTTGCCCTCAACTTGAAGGACCAAGGGACTGAGTGCTCGCGCTACGAAGATCCTATTCTCAGTTTCACTATCGTGTTTCCTCTGTAACCTCGCAAACATCGCGTGCAAGGTCTACGGACTAGTCTTATTCTGCCGTGGATTCCTAATCGACTCAGAGGGGACGATCGACATCCCTCTAATCGACGCCGTCGATAACGAATTAATGGCCCCGCTATATACGAAACGTGGTTCGTGCAATATGTGGTATGTGTATGTGGTATGTGCCATTCAGGAGCGGCTTGAAACTCGCCGTGGCGCTCATCATACTACATAAACTCGGTTGATTGATGTGGATGGCAGATTGTCGTTGTTGATTGCATAGTCGTTTGGAGGGCTTGGGTTATTTATTTCGATCGCAAGCAGATCATGGCGCTTCCTTTTCTGCTACTAGCGGCAACGATAGGTAGGTTAGGTATTCATTTTACTTTACTGTTACAGGCCCAGTGCTGCAGTGATCCTTATCCTAAAACTCGGATTCTGCTAAAGTCATCAGCGTGTTAGATTACATTAGTGATGGACACGGGTTGGCAAAGGCCTTCCGGAAACGACACGATGCTCTGTATGAGAAGCTCATTGAGGAGGCCGTCAATGGGAAGGATGATCGGGAATGAACACGTACGTTTGACTCGATTGCCCAGCTGCAAGGCATCAATGGTCTAGCTCATTTGTACTATTGCAGTTGGGCTAGAGTATTCGCCAATCCGGAGAAGCCTGAAGGGGACCAGCGACATCTTATGGCTCAATTTGCGGCGGTGAGTACCCAATGTTTACAACTTATGCTAGTTTAACTCATGGACATTGTTTATAACCTTCATGTCGTATTCATAGGCCGCTATTGAGACGGTAAGAGAGATGTACTAGATAGCTGTTGTTGTCGGGTCATTTTTAACTATGACGTGTAGACAGCTTCTTCACTTCACACTTGCGTTCTTGCCTGTATTCGTTATCCGGAATGGATGCTTGCGGCGCAGAAGGAGATTGACGAGGTTGTAGGGCCTGATCGCTTACCCACATTCAAGGATCGACCTTATTTGCCCTACTTAGAAGCTGTTGTCCGTGGTTCGTACTCACAATGCCAATCTCTACCATTGACAAATTGACAGCTTGATTCTTCAGAAACCCTCCGGTGGCGACCTGCAGGTATGTACCTATCGTTTCAACTTCGTACCAACACTCTTATGCAACGTCTTACTTAACGTCGAGTTGCAGCTCGCTTTGGCGCACCGCATCTATCTACCGCTAATGACACGATTGAGTACCAAGGAAATGAGTACTTTATTCCTGAGGGAAGCATTATCTTTCCTGTAACCTGGTAAGTGTTCTGAGCTGCCAAGACCTTTCGGCTCTCGTTTTCAACTCTACAACCTCATTATATCAGGGCAATTGAACATGATGCTTCAAGATACGACGATCACGACCGATTTATGCCCGAAAGATTCCTTGATGAGCGCGGTCAACTAAAACCGAATTACGAGACAAGCGCCTTTGGTTTTGGTCGGCGCGGTCAGTACATTTCGCCAGTCCTTCACGTAGACCCTACTAGCTCCTAACTATCTACTACATTTACAGTTTGCCCGGGCTCTCCATTCGCTGAGCGATCTCTCTGGATTGATATTGCCATGATGCTCTGGACATTCGACATCCAAGGATCACAAAAACCCGATCCTCAGACTGGGTTGCCTTTCTCTTACGACGATAGTGATGCAGCGTTCAAAGGAACGGTAAGCAGAACTTC